TCAATGTTCTTGCAACCCTCGCAGCTGTGCTTGTGCACTTGCGTTTTGCCCGCTTCACGGCGGAGAAGGACCGCGAGGAGGTGTCTCTTGACACGCCGAAATGTAGCAGCAACAATGTATTGGCAACAAATCCCCCAGAGCCCTTCGAGGGCGGTAATCGGGTAGAGTAATAAGGGTAGGTTTTTTCTCACTCTATGAATAGTATTCTTTTTTATATCTTCTATTCCATGTTTGTTTTTTGTGCGTTGAAACTACCACCATCCCAGTGCGCCGCTGTGTGAGTGCTGCTGAATGTGCAGGGGTAGAAAGCGACTTTCCGGACACAACATTTCCACTACTGGACGGAAAAGAGGGAATGATAAATGAATTTTCTTATTTTCGAGCTACCTTCAAAACGAATACATTGTCCAATTGTTTTGATGATGTGTATNATTTCGTGACCTCATTGTGGCTGTGTGTGTGTGGTTTTGGCTGCGACTTGTGCGGTGACCGCGGAGGCTGGGCCCTCTTACTCCCACTGGGGTGCCCCCTCTAGCTTCGCCTGGTCTGCCCTCCGCGCCGCTTCGTCTCACATTGAGGGCGAAGAGATGTTTTGTTGGATTATTCCCCTCTGCATTGATACATATTATTTATATTGTCGTGATCGGAGGGAGGCCAACGACAGCAAATAGGAAGAATTGTGTGTGTGTGTGTGTGCTGTGTGCAGCCGCAAGTCGGCCGTATCACATTTTTAGAACTGAGAAAACCAAATATAAGGGGGTTGTCCTCACCGTTACTACGCACACAACGCGAAGCCAGGGCGCTGTGAAGACTTGGCAGCACTTGTACTGTGTGGTTGTTGTGCTTGCATNCACTTTTTGCTGCTTGTGGTAGACGCATAGGTGTAATCATGGTGCAACTTGTCGACGATTTGTTCCGCATGCGGATGCTTGTGGCGGGCGTTTATCTTGGCATTGCCATTTCCTCCACGTATGGCTTCAGTATATTCACCGGGTATCTGAGAAACAAGTACGGATTCTCGCAGACCGATATCACGACTATCAGCACTGTTGGGAACTGTGTTGGATACTGCACCTTTCTTGCCGGTATGCTGTTTGACTTCGCCGGGCCCATGGCCGTGCTTCCGCTCGCGGGTATTCTCGTCTTTATCGGCTTTGGTCTTTTTGGCCTCGTGTTTGACGGCTACGTCGTTTCCAGCCCGACTGTGATTCACTTCTCCATCTTTAGCAGTATCCAGTCTTTTGGTTGCCCTGCTATGGATTTCTCGGGTGCAATGCCGCTGATGCTGCAACTCCCTATGGATCGCGGGTACGTTGTCATGATCCAGAAGACGTTCAGTGGGCTTGGCACGTC